CTTAGCAACTACTTAATTAAATTTAATAAAAAATTTTTTGTTTGAATTATAAAGATCTATAGAATTCTAATAAAAAAATTTTTATTGAATTTGAATAAGTAGTTGTTAAGATATAATTAAAAAAAATCTTAAAAAAATTTAAAATTTTATTATTGTTTTGATAATTTTTTTATATAATCTGATTGGTCAATCATAGAAGTCGAGTCTTCATAAAATAATGCCCTTTTAAATTTTATAACATGAAAAATATTAAATTAAAAATAGAATATAGTTGGTTAACTTTAGAAGTATCTAATAAAATATATATTTTTGATAATAGTAATAATTCTAAATACAAATAGGTGATATATAGTAAATCTAATAACTAGCTTAACTCAACTAAAATTAGCATATCTAACTCAACACATATAAGCATTAGTACGTTTATTAGATCTATTATTAGAGACACTACTTCATTGATTGTATAATTATTTATATTTTATAAATGGTATAATAGTAGATATTTTAACAGAAATATTGTTTCAATTTCAGGAAGCAGATAAAACACTATAATTTGTTATAGCAAAAATTTAAAATTTTAATTTTAACATTGCCACCAATGAAGAGACTATTTCTTTAGGTTTATTTAAACTTATTTAACTTTAGCTTTTTAAAGTTACTTAAAATGTTAAGTAAATTCAAAATTTAGGATGATTCTATTTTTCAACATAAAAGAGAGGGCTTTTTTTACAAATTTTCAGGTTGGAGGACAGCATTATGCTATACTAAATAACTATGCCTATAAAAAATTATCGGGCAAGAATTTTTTACTTAGTAAGTGGGCTATAGGGTTGCATAACTTATAGCAAGTTAACTTATTTTAAGTTAAATTAACATAATTATAAATTTTATACTAATTTAAAAGTTGGTTCGGGCTTTAGCATTTTACCTTCAAGGTAAAATATCTCAATAAATTATTAATTTAACGGAAATTACATATAAACAAGATCAGAATTTTAGTTTAACTAAATTCAAAATTTCGTAAAAAGTCGTAAGGGTATTTTACTAGACCATAACCCATATCCATCCGATCTGGTCCATACAGAACACTACTGTAATGTATATGCGGCAATCATAAAGCTTTTAATTTTCAAAATTACAGTTTTTATTTATTTAATCTATTAGGAGTCAAATTTATGCAAAAAAACGTAACAAATTTTATTCCGTTAACTGTTATGAATGTATATTATTTTCGAAAAAAAAAAAGGCCAATTATAGTTTTACGAAACGAGGTAACGTTTGTCCCCGAACACCAGCTAAAACGTTTTCAACAGCAAGATTTCCCATATTCGTTCGTGTTTCTAACGTTGCACTACCAATGTGAGGAAGAACAATTACATTTTGAAATTTCAAAATAGGATGATCAGGTTCTAATGATTCAGGTGCTGTCACATCTAATCCCACAGAACCTAATAGACCTTCCGACAAAGCACGTAAAAGATCATCATGATTTATGATTGCTCCACGTGCAGTATTCACAAGAATCTAAAAAAAAAAAAAAAAAATTACTTTTAGTAACTTATATATAAATAATTAGACAAATGCCAAAAATTACGGAATTAAAAGAGCAAAATCAGTTCCCTTATTAGAAAAACTTGAATGAAATTTTAAAATCGTAATCTCTGGCTATCTCTCGCCTAATAATTCGTCATTTTTACGTACCACGTTTTTCTTCATCATTTTAAAAACATCATAATTGAACATCTCCTTAGTTTTCTCGTTCAAAGAGCAACATATACAAATAATATCTGAATCTCTAATTAACGAATTAAATTCAACTTTAATAGCACCGAGAGGAACAGCCATTGGTTTATCATTATTTCCAGAATATAATATTTTTCCATTTTCACCTAAAAATGGCTTAAGTCGACGCGCAGTAGCCTCTCCGATTCGACCAAAACCAACGATTCCAACAGTCTTATCAGTTAATTGAGTACCTGACCAATTTATTTTCAATTAAGAAAATACAGACTTTTAAAATATTTTATTAAATTATTAAGAGGTCGAATACCTAACATCCAGACTGGACCCCACTTGCCCCATTTCCCATCTTCTATAGCATGAATTCCCTTAATATATTAGAAAGTTTATGTTATATTTATAACAATAGTAGAAGAACAAAATAAAATAAAATAAAATAAACGAATTACCTCACGTATTCTACGTGCTGCTGCCAGTACCAATAAAGCAGTAATATCTTTTATAACATATAGACTAATAAGATAAATATTCAATTCTAATTAAAACATAAAAATCTATTTCTAGTTAAAAACGTTATACCTGCAGTCGCGTCTGTAAGTACATCAGGAGTATTTCCCAAAAGTATTTTGCGTTTGCGGAGTTCATTTAAATCTACATGATCATATCCCACTATTTTATGACGTAGATGTTAAATATGAAACATCACTAATATATATATATATATCCAATTTATATAAAATATTTAAAGTTTAACCTGAAAATGTCGATACAACTTTCAAGTTTGGACCAGCTATATCTAAGAGCTCTGAATCAATCTTTTCAGTTAACATACAAAGGATTCCATTAACACCTTAAGGAATAATGAAGAAATAATTATAATTATTGTTTTCAATTAATAAGTTTTAAACTTTTATTAGGAAGGTAACCTGGTACTAATTTCAGCATTTGGTCTCGGGGTATAATATCGTCCTTCCAATGAATAAGCTCGATATCTTTAGCATTTTCAATGAGTTGCTGTGACTCAGGTGGTAACGTTCTCGTTAATAGAACTTTAGGAAGAACCATTGTTGAAAAACGACGAAATATTCTAATGTCTATAGGTTTAAAATAGTTTTTTAACATGAATCGTGCATTAACGTTAATTAATTAACGATTTATATCAAACCTGTAGCAATCAAATTTGGCTAAATTACGTCGATCCAAGCATGAAAATTAACGTTCTTTGCCTAACGTCCACTATGTGTAACCAAGTTTATCTAATGATGAACATTAGATGTTACACGATGATCTGCAATAAATTCGTTGATGTTTTTAACAAGAGCAAAGACAAATACTTAGGGTGTTCTCAAGCACTTTAGTCATTTAGCCAGAATAGATCGGGAAGCAAATTCAATTAAGTAAAAAAAATAGTTTGTAAAGGTAATAATAATAAGTTATCAGATAGGCACTGTCTGATAACGGATTTACACAATCATTACCCTATTACATAACCACAATCACGAGTAGTATTTGACTTTTTTACCGTTAATCACATTGAGGAAGATATGTAAGAATACGTCAATTACACCATTATCGTTATTCGTTCAGATCATTAACAAAGATCTAACGCTACGAACGTGTACCATTACTATCAATAGCTAATTCATTAAGCTACTTGAGAACACCTTAATAAACTCTACAGTATAATAATGATTGGATGATCGCAACAATTAAAATACGAGAGTCTTCTACAAACTAGTGTATTATATAAGTTGTTACATTAATTATTTGACTTTTTAAATCAAAGATAAATAACAAAAATTAATATTTCTTTTTAAGCAAAAGCTTTAAACTCACATAAGCAAGTTACGGTATAGACAAACTCGGATTTAAATGTGATCTAGGTTTAATAGCTTATCAAATTTCAAGATCAGGAAAAAAAAAAACAATTCTATTTCAAATAAAATTTTCGCGTTGTTAAAGGGAATTTTTTTTATTAGTGCGCAGAAGACAGTTTCATATACTAAATTTTGAGTTATGAGCTATTTTATGTCTGTTTTAATTTTTTTTCATTTTCTTTTATGTTATATCTAAAGTTTTTTGGTAGGCAATTTAAAAGATTATAACTCAAACATTTAGTTTATGAAATTGTTTCTAATAAAACTTTCAAACTTTAATTAATGGCACAAACGGTACGAAACATTCCAAAAAATTGTAATTTGGGCCAATTATATTTCAAGAATATGCACAATAACTCAAAATTTTATTTAAAAAATCAGTCTATTTAAAAAACTTCCTTGCTTTGTTGGATTAGTACAAATAGAAATTGTTGATAAAAATACAGATATATACATGAGTAGTATCTATTATCCTCTTCATATTTAGATATATCCGGATTTAGCAAACTGGATCCAAGCACTAACAAAAAACTTATAAAAGGATATTAGAAGAAGGTTTTTTTCAAATTTATTTTTTTATTTATCAAATTTATTTTTTATTGGTTTTCTTTGTGAAATTTACTACTTTTATTTGCGTTTTTATCATTTTACTTGAAAATATAACGGTTTTGTTTGACTAGCACGTTACATCTTTATATTGTCACTCAGTCAGAAATAGAACGTAGATATCATATTTCACCTTTCTTTATTTTGAATAAAATAAACACGAAAAATAACACGAATACTGGCGTAAATATTCTTCTTATGAGTCTCTGAAAGTATCTTGGCGTTAGTATTGAGACCACAAAAAAATTAAAAACATACAGTATACAAATTGTTGGTATGAAAATTGTTTTCTTACAATATATATATATATATATTGACATTGATATTATAACAACTTTTGTTGCCCTTGTAGAAAACCGAATCACTTTAAACAATAAAAACAAATCCAGGTATATATTTTATAGTATTAGACAAGTACCTTTTCCTTTTAAACCTTTTTTATGAGATTCATTCGAACAATTTGTTTGATATAGTGAAAGGGTTACGCGCTTTCTTATTAATTATAAAAAAAACCTTACGTTTGCTATATTTTAAAAATAAAATATTTTTACTTAAGGCCACTCCAATTTAATTCTTTGTTTAACATAATATAAAGTAACTTATGACAGTGGGGGGAGGGTATTAAAAATACACAAAATTACTAATACTGCAATTTTATTGGTTGATTTAACATGTATTAGCTATATAAAATTTAAAAAATTGAGGGGGGGCAAATACTATTAATTACTATTAATGTGTATTGGGTTTATGTAAATTTTGAAAAATAGGGGGTGTATGTTAAACGAAGAATTAATTTGGTCTGGCCTAATTAATATTCACTAATTTTATTACATATTTTAGAGCAATGGAAAACAAATATCCAAAAAAAATTAAGATTTTTTTATTGCATATTTTAAATCAATGGAAAACGATCCAAAAGAGATAAAGATTTATCAAATTTGTTAAATAAATATTTTAATCTTTTTCCATGTGATTCTGTCCCTTGAAACTTTTTTGCATGTGCGATCTTTAGTGAAGGTAATGAACCCATATTTGATTATTTTGACTTCCCGGTAACTTAAAATGGCAATTCAAGCGTCAGAAATAGTCTTGTATATATATTTTATCTTAACTAATAAATTAATTTTGTTTTCAGATTTGGATTCGTTCATTTTGATGCACGTAGAATTCCGCAAAGAAATTGCGTACTACCATAAAAACGGAGCGTGCAAAATTGCGAACTGGTGATTATATAAAATGGTAAAAACACGTCAAGAGCAAGTATTTCTAAACGTGATAAAAAGTAGATGTCATAAACCACAAAAATCATATTCTTTAAAGCATGCAAATTCGGTACAAAAGAACCTTTACATGAAAGAGTTTCTCATTCATCTGCTCTTGGGTCATTCAAATTTTAATTTTCTTTTTCATCTTTCTGTGATAGATTTGACTTTATCAAATGATGCCTTTGTTTTTGAAGAGCTAGTAGATAAAACATTATCAAAATACCGTAATTATAAATACAGCATATAACATTAACCGTGTTCGAATTTTATGTTATAGAACAAGCTTAATAATTTTAAAAAAAATTTTTAGCAAACAAATTTACTTTTAAAGGATAAGATTGTTGTGATATTTAATAGTTATATAAAATATTTCTACACAAATAAATTATTACAGTAGTTACGTAAAGGCAATATCTTAATTTACATGACAAATTATTTTTAATCTAAAACATATATCTGTGCACTTGCATTTAATAACATGCGCTTACACCAGTATTCCTCTATATTCAGCCTGAGGATATTTTTGTTCAAGATATGGCCATTGAACGATAAATCTATCAACGAATCTTAATAACAATTTTCCAGATAAAGACAATGTTCGAACACGAGCAAAAGACTCCACATATATCAATTTGATCCATTTTATACCAAGTATCTAAAAAAAAAAAAAAGAAGGTAATTATATTAACAAAACTAAAGATGACCTAATTAAATATTAAATGAATGTAGTATATTCTTACTCGTGGGATATAAGATATTACGCAAACAGGAATACAGCTTCCAGGTCCATTACATATTATCTGTAAAGAAGAAATTATATTATAATTTTGATATATGACAATAAACAAAAAATAATAAGAAATCTTATCACCAGATCAGGTAAATCAAGTAATATAATTTTAATGCATGCAAATAATGAATTAAAAACACTAAAAGGAGTCGATAACCATGATTGACCAACATTACGACTTCTCGGAATAATTTTAATCATAAACTTTTCAAAATAAAAACTAAATATAATTAATATTATTAATTAATAGGTAACCAAAAAAAAAAAACCTATAAATTACATACATCAATGTTTTCTATCCCACCTTTATGACTTTCAAACGCTCTTATTTTGTCAGAGCTTAAATTATCACCTTGGGCTACTATATACATTCGTGGTCGATATAGTGAATTGAAGTCAACTTTACATAAAAGTTGTATCATTTCCATGGTATGACCGCCTATATTTAAATAATTTATAATTACAACGAAAGTAGTTAAAAAAGATTTTACAACAAAGTATATATATGTACCTGATCCAAGAACAATACAGGTTTTAAAAGAATTTGATTTTTTGTGAACATTTGTTTTTGACCGTCGATTGGGTAATATCTGATACAATCTTATAATGAGAATAATGAAAAATATAGAAATATATAGCAATAATAACATCCACATAATTCGAGTAGAATAAATACAGTATATCTTATTAAAATTAACGAATCATATTTGTATAAAAAAATGCAAATCCTAAATATGATTGGATAAATATAAGAAAAATTTTATTGGATAATTTGACATTACTATATATCGATATGAATGAATGCATGCATGTTCTTGTACGTACGTATCAGATTGAAAAATTATTTCGTAAAATTTGATTGGCTAGCTATAAAAAAAAAAAGTTAATATATAAATAAACCAATCAAATTGCATAATTTTAATATAATAAAAATATATATATATCGGAAACCAAAATTTTTAAATATAAAATTGTCTTTTTTAACTATCAGTTATCAGAATTGACAGGTTATCAGGTATGAATTAAGGAACAGACCCGGTGGATTGATTTTTGATCAGTTATCGGTTTTGACAGGATCGATTTTGAGAGGGTTAACAGTATAAGATTTCAGTGATAAATTAAAAATAACCAAAGAATAACTTTTAACTAAAGATGCTGGTGAAATTAAACTATTTCACCAATTACCAATCAGTATTGGTAGAATGGTGAATTGGTGAATTGGTGAAATTGGTGAACGGTGAAATGTGAATTGGTGAAATTGGTGAAATTGGTACAGTGAAATAGTAAAAATACAAAATAGAATATCCGAGTTTCTTGTATACCAATATTTTGGTCTATACTATAGACCTGAATTTATTGCATAATGGTTCTAATATTGTAGGGAATCTTTTACAGTAATTGATTATTGGGTGATGCTTTGTTTGTGGTATGATTATTGGAAGAGGCATAATATCAAATAGCAAATGCGTTAATATCATAGTTCGCTGTTTCTCATTTACTAATTGTATCAATTCATCAATTCAATTTTGTTGTTACTGAAGGTTATGGTCATAGTTATCATTAGAGATATTAAAATTTTGATTTTTAAATTAACTTGAGCTAGATTTTTTCTAAAATTAATAAATCATTCACTAATTTTACCAATTCATCTGTTCTACTATTTTACTGAATTTTTGATAAAATAATTTTACTATTTTATCTAGTAATAAAATTGTTTAACTAGCATTTTTGGTTTTATCTGAATTCTTTGTAGTATTACAAGTAGTATAGCTTTTTTAGTATATCATAAGTAATATAAGATACAGAAGAGGAACTCTCAATAGTGTCAAAGCAAGATATACTTCATATGAGTAATTTGTTAGAAAGATTATATTAAAGCAAAGAGTATTCTTTATTTATGATACAATATCAACAATACAAAATTATCTATTAGTATCTATGCTAAGAGAATTCTAATATTAAGAAGATTATAGAGGACAAACCTAACTTTACAAAAGAGAGAAGAGGCAGGGTTTATATATCCTTTTCTAAATGTTGTTAAACATAGATAAATATTATTAAACATAGCTAAACATTATTAAACATAGTTAAATATTATCAAATATAGCTAAATATAATTAAACTATTTAAATATAAATAGAAATTTCTAAATGCTAATTACTTAATAACTATTAATCTAATTTTTACAAATTATAGCTCATTATAATTATGAGACTATTCTGGTTCTAATAATACTATCTAAAGATATTACTAACTTATAAGATAATTTATAAAATATAAATAAAAAATAACTAAATAATAAAGATAAAAATAGGTTTGGTGATCTTAGTGTAGTGGTTAGGTTGCCAGACTGCCATGCAAGAAGTTTGGAGTTCAAATCTCACTGTTGAC